TGGTGAGGAAGCATCAGCTTCCCCAGGTGTGTTCTCGGGGAAGGCCGGGAAAGCGGATGTAGGCTGGGTTGCTAGCTGAGGTGAAATGGAAGTAGTATTTGCCATCATCTTTTTTATTTCCTCCTGTAGGTGGAGACAGTCAGGTGAAACTGCAGTCTCCACTGCCTACATTGCAGAATAGGCAGTGTCGATGGGAGGATGTGCAGGCTGTGTAGTGGTGTTCCTAGGCGCAGATACAGTATTTCTGCACTTGCTTGGTGCACTTCCTGGTGTAGTGGGAGTATCGGTAGCACTTTGTTACAGTATCGTCACCCTCTTCGGAATATAGTGGCAATTTCAGCACCATCTATGGGTCTGCACTCCAACACCCCCACCCCCCTGATATTGGACGCTATGTGGACAACACCATCTATTGGTGGTGGCATGGCGGCAATGAATGGCTCCTGTTTCCTGCCTTTGTCTGACAAAGAGGTCGTTGTGGATGACCTCTGGTGATGGGCGTATCAAGACCAGCGCCACCTAGATTGTGCTACAGAGCATAATGTCAGCTCCCCTATGAATGAGTGTTACCTCATGGTTTCCCCAGTGTACCGTCTGTTTAACTGATGACGTTTTATGTCCACAGAGGTGACGTGTGGCAGCAGTGCCTGTAGTGAAGTGCTGCTAGCCGGTTGCTAGAGGCTTCTGCCAGGGGTTAGATACCCCTGTATATGGATGTTTGTGACCCCGATCAGCGTGTGGCTGAAGTCCTCTGCCAGCGAGTAGCTGGAGAGCAATAGTGGGGCGTAGGCACCTCGTGATACTGTGTCAGTGGGCTGGCCCACTTAAAAGGTGAACTCGCCAGTGTTTTCCAGTACGAGTGGTCAAGGTACTGGGTGGTGGAAACACTGGGGTTGGTGAACACTGCATGTGTGCACTTTTGATGTCCTGTGTGAAAGTGACACTTCTGTAAATAAGTGTAGTAATAATCTATTTATTATATTTTAACGTTGAAAGTGTAAATATATTGGTGAAGGGAACTGTGCATATTGTTCATCCCCCCCTTTCCCTTATTGCACTATATAGCCAATTCTTGAAAGCTTACTACCCACTTGGGGTCGGATACTATAAACGAGATTCATCCATCAAGAACCCGGTTACTGGTCCATAGTGATCGTAACACACTTCAAGCACTGGCGAAGCTCCGTGTATCATACCTTGGTCATGTGGGTAGGTGGAATTATGATTTCGTGGCATGGGTCGCTGGGATGGCCGTGCTGAAGGTCACCTTCAGTGTCGGTCTGCGGGTGTTGTTTGAGTTGGTCTTGGCCACTACCGAGGTCAGCATCGGGTTCAGGGTGCTGATGCAGGGAAGGATGTTGTCGTCGCTACGGGCGGAGATCCATGCGCTGATGTATCTGGCAAACACAGTCCTGTCCACCAGGTAGCGTGGTGGAGGAGTGAGGGTGTGGCCGGCGTCTAGCAGGGTTGTCGTGGTGGAGGCGGCAAATAGCTTCTCTAGGTAGTTGGAAAAGAGAAGGTGAACACCTTCTCGTTTCTCCAGGATGTCAGCCGGTGAGACATTTCCGATGGTAGAGACCTCTTCTAAGATCTCAGCCGTGGTGAGAACGAGGTCCTCTCGGAGGCGAACCTTGACTCTGTGCAACATGGTGCAGATGGCCCTGGACCATAGATGCTTGGGTCCGTGATGGGTCTGGGCATCTTTTTCGCAACTCATCTTGACCGGGGATGTGATGTGTGTATGATGGATTTGCAGTTGTTGTTGTTTTAGATTCAGCAACTCATAACAAAAGGTTTCAAGTAGCACAGGCTATGGTGAGCCTGTAAATGGAGGCTCTTTAGAGCCATTATCTGTAACAATAGCTGATACTCGAGATCTGGGGATGGGGTCCGTGGACGGGCCAATCCAATCGAAGAGAAGGACTGCAGATTATGATTGATGAAGATTAAGCCATCCTAAAGGTTGTGTGGGCTTGAATAGCCCGTAAGTGGAGGCTCTTTCAAGCTCTTTCTGCAGTCTCCGTGGTGTAGTGGTAAGACACTCGCCTGGCGTTCCGCGAGCGCTATGTCATGGGTTCGTATCCTGGCCGGGGAGGATTTACTGGGCGCAATTCCTTAACTGTAGCCTCTGTTTAACGCAACAGTAAAATGTGTACTTGGATGAAAAAACGATTCTTCGCGGCAGGGGATCGTATTCCATGGACCATAGGATTAAGGACTTGCCGAAACGCTACGCGTACTAGTGGCTGTACAAGAATGTAACAACTCTTGTATATATCTCAAAAAAAAAAAAAAAAAAAAAAAAAAAAAAAAAAAAAATTACCAGTACCAATAACTGGATGAGATTTCTGGATGGATGGGGGGGGGGGTAGTCTTCGTGGTGGATTTCAGACTCGGAGGGCTGGCTGTACCAGTTATGAAGCTGGTTGGATAAGTGTAGACCTCAAGGTCTTCCGTTTTTTCTTTGGCTGAGCCGTGCTGTCGTTGAAGTTTGGTGAGGTGGCCTCTATGAGGAGATCTTGTACCGAGTAGGTGATATATTTGTGGTGTGGCGGCGGAGCGCCTACTAAGATTTCCTCGTCTGAAAAGTCCGTAACATCTGTAGTTGATGGTTTGTCTTTCGTCTCGCAGCCTAAGGTAGGCTCAGGTGGCGTGAATTAGTGGTAGAAACTATTTCAGGAGCGTTGGTGGTGCTGTTAATATTTGTAGACAGCATATCTGCTGAGATGGTAATGGTAGGAGTGTTGGAAGCTGAAGAGGAAAATACCTCTGTGCCACCTGGGTCTTGGTGTAACAAACTAGGTTTGTTGTAGGGAATTATTCAGTATGGATTCTCATAGACATGGGGGTTTTAAATGTTTGGAGTCAGATGGTACTCGACCTGACTCAAGTAGAAAAAGGTCATCTCTCCTGGGATTAGCGGTTAAGATTACAAAATGGCCGGCGCCTTTGTCTTAAAGCAACGTATAATGAATTATTTTACAAAATTTAGTAATTTAGAGAAATTCAAGTCTTCATTCAAATTGTATTCAATAGTATTCCTGTTCAAGTATGAAGAGTATTCCCAATTGTCGGAATACTGAGTAAGTCACCGTCAGTGACGTCACTAGCAGAGGACTAGCCTCTGAGGCGGATCAATCTTGGCAACCCTGGGGTCAAGCGTTACCAAAGCCTTCCATATTTAGTAATTCTCAAAGTTCAAATAGCCATATTGTAATTGGAAATAGCCTTTCCCTAAGATGCCTGTGCAATTACCTTCAGTTTAAAAAAGTTCAACCATCTGAGTTGTTCAGTGCAACAGAGATTAGTTGTTAAATTTAAACCCTGCTTAGTAATCTTGGTAAATCTGGTGTAGGAATACCCTTTAGCTCTGACTAACTGTGAGGGAGGCTAAGCGAGGAAAGTGTGGACTAGGCCAGCGACTGGGGAAGGCAACCATCTCACCTCTCCAACTAGATCGGTAGAACATCAGATGGTCACATTAAGAGGTATAGTTGTTACTGTTTTGTATAGGTAAATAGTTCATTTTCATGCCTCGATTGGGAGTGTGAAGGTCTAGGGAGTGATATTTCATTTAACTGTTGTTTAGCTTTTGCATTAATAAATAATTAGCTTGTTATTTGTATTTTATTATTTCCATTATTTTGTTTTGCATGTCCTTGTCACGTGGTCTCCACGAGTCAGTTATCTGGGTCGCAAGCCTAACAAAGTAAGAGCTAATATATATCCTTTTGTTTGCTGTAATTCCCACACTGAACGTAGATTCATCCCTCCTTTTCCAAGTAATTTGGGGATCAAGCCCCAAGATTTTAATGATCGATTAATCGGTCCAGACCCCGATTAACTGATGCTTCTGGTTAATGATCTGGTGGTGGCAGCAGATCATTGTGACACGTGTGTGGTGCTCTCCGGCAACCCATGTTTGACCCTTTTCTCTGCCAAAGCTCTATTTCATTCTATTCGGGTTTTCTCTTTTTCTTTTTCTGATTCGTTTTTCAATTGAAGTTCTAACCTCAACTTCTCCAGTTAGAACTGCCTCTCTTCACGCTCACGTTCTCGTTGCATCCGGAGCTGAAATCTTTCCAAGCTCCTGCTACTGCGGCTACTCCTACTTGATTCTTGGGATCTCTCTTCATCTCGTTCATTATCTTCCTTTCCGCCTTCAGCTCCTTTGTGAGCTCCTTGCTCTGCCACTTCGTTTCTAGCTCTCAACTGCCTAATGATCTCCTCCTTCATTCCTGCCACTTTGGATGACTTCACCTTGACGCCACATCTCTCCGCTATCTGCTTTAACTGCTCTTTGGTGCAACCTTCCAAATCTTCAGGTTTGCCTGACTCTACAAATGTTTGCACCTTCTCCTTCCTGTCCTGTGGGTCTTCCCGAGAGAGAGAAAAATCTACCTGCGGTCACACGGACTACTTACTGCTGCAATGGATTTGTGTCAGTCCACTCTCCTGGACTCAAACTATGGGTGTGTCAATTCACTCCCGGACAGGATGTGGGTGTGTCAGTTCACTTCGGACAGGCCCCCAATTGTTCGAATGTCAGGGAAATATGAGCTGGGTGAGGATTTAAACCCAAAAGAGAGCTCTGGTTGTTGCACCACACTGTTACTTGCATACAGGCGGACAGCGTCCCCAACCGCTCCCTGATAGAACAGCAGCTGAACCCGGCAGCCACACTAGCGCTACCCTCGGTTGACCAGCAACGGACACTGGAGTGCTTGCAATTTACCTAAGAGATCGCCCTGTACGCATCTTGATCTTGGAGGGGGGGTTCAGCATCACCTATTTAGGGGTGCAGCTCCAAAACTGGCCTCGATGTCTTGAGTACACACTTGAGCCGAAGTGACTCCCCACTCTCTCTTTGTTTGGAATGATCTCCTAAATCCTCTTTTCGAGCATTAGTGTCTACTGTCACCCCATCCGCAGCCGTGACTCTCTCTCTATTTCTCTCTTGCTTTCTGGGACACCTCACCAGGACAAGAGCAAAGTCCAGCTAACATATAAAACATTTAATACATAAAAACATACATAATAAAAGACATATAATATACAATATTACCATACAACACTCTAAGCTGCTACAACCTAGTAACACTCCAATATCATATCCTGACTTCACCAACTATCTGTAACAGACCGCTGCACAACTCTTAGCTCACAACCTACTACTTCCTCACTGCTTGGGGCTGAAGTACATGAAACATCAACACAAGTATCTCCCAACAAAAGAAAAATCATTCTCTCACCTTACACTGCTTCTTATATGCCAATAAGCATTCAAACACTCCCCTTATTCAATAATGTGTCCACGAAGATCCTCTGTTCTCCTCCTAGAGGCTCACTATCAATGCAAATCTCTAGGTCCTCCAAAATATCAGGAAAGGCACTTTCTGCACTTCTCCCAATCTACTGCACAACGAAGTCTAACTCCAACATCAGTGACACTCCTTCACTGGTTCCACAAAGAATCGTGTAGCTTCCCAACAATGCTTGAAGTTCAGCTCCTCACTATGGAGTTCTGCGCTACCTCAGAGATCAGCATACACTTCTTCTCCAGGATCAAAATTCCTCCATTAACTTCTTCTCCAGCCTCAAAGTTCCTCCATTAGCTTCTTCCCACACAAACTGCAGGAATCTGTGACGTGGGGGGCTCACGCCCTGGTGCTCAACATGGTGCTCACACAGGCCGCCCATAAAAATCCAACCAAAAATCGCTTTAAGACTGCTTCACAAGGTTTCTTCCAATCCTAACTTGAGTACACTGGGCAGGCTCCACACAGAAATGCTTGCTATGCTTCCTTCCTCTTCAAGGAGTACACAATTAGAGTTCCACAAAGGCGCGACCAAACACTCGCTTCCAGGCCACCTCTAATATATCCAAATCACAGAGAAATGGTGTACTATGTTCCCAACAGCTTCCTCACACTTGAAAACAAGTAGCCTTCACTTCACCGCTAACACAAGGCACTATATTCTTCCTTCTTCCAGGAGATCAACGAAGTACGACCATCTCTGACGACTGCTGTGACTCAAGTAACGTCATGACGTCCTGCTAGCGTCACGTCACATCACCAAAGTATCGACATCTCATTCCATGTCATTTTTATTAGACGCTCATCCTCCGCTCGTATTCTTAAATTACTCACTGACGTTTATTAGATATTTTCCTTCCTCTGCCCTCTTAATTTCAGGTTCGGAAAGCAGAATAACTCTCACTGGAGTAGACTCGTTCCACCAGGCTGCATGGGGTCATAACACATAGTTCAATGCTTCAGCTTGTACTATGTGTTATGTAGTATAAGGTGCCTTCCGAGACACTCATTAGTCCTGGAAGCCGTACCGACAATTACCGTACCTAGAAACCGACAATTTCTATGACATTGAAGGCGGCTAAGGTAAACCTCAACCCCCAGATGAACAAAGTCCACAGACAGATGCTGGCGACACATGAGCGGGCAAGTCCAAAACAGGGCTCTACAGTACCATGGTGACGGGTAAGAGGCGTGGATGAATTGTGTTAGCTTATGATAGTGTAACGTACGATTAAGTTACGTTTTTGGGTAGATTAGGTGCACAGTATTTAGTGGGTTTTCATATTTATTTAGTATTCTTGGATACATCAGTGTCGTAGACGTTGAGACGGAGCTTGGAGCAGAGCAGAGCTGAGTGGCCGGAGTCGCGGAGCTCTATGTGGGAGAGCCTGGCGGCTCGATTGAGGAGTCGTATGTGTCTAAACTTGATGGGGCTTGAGAGAGCGTTGTAGCTCGATGCGGTCCTGGTCTGCTGTCTGCTCTGAGTTGAAACTGTAGTGTTTTGGGGTCGATTAAAACTGTACACGCCGAGTGCAACATTCTTGAGGTTGAAGAGATGAAGTAAATCCAAAGCGTCTGTACTGGAGTTATCCAAATCACTGTGGAAATTGTACTGTCGGCTATTCACTTTTTGCTTGCTTATATTCGGTGACTACACCTCAGCTTCCTCCAACCAGGATGGAAGAACTGTTACCTGTAAACAGGGATAGGATTATAGCTTGTGTAATTAGTGCTAATTTGTTACTCCATTAAGCTAATGAGAGACTGTAGTGAGTATATTTTTTGTACTCGTTACAATAGGTTGGGCTGAGTTAGTTTATGATAGGTTGGATTGAGTTTGTTAATGATTTGTTGGGTTGAGTTAGCTTATGATAGGATAGGTTAGATTGGATAATAGTCACGAACAGTGTTCGATGTACGACGGGACCTGTAATTACTGATATAATGATGGTGACCGCTCCCCCCGCCCTCCACCATGTCCCGTCCACCACTCCCCCAGCCCCTCCTACTCCTCTCCCACCACTCCCCCAGCCCCTCCTACTCCTCTCCCTCCACTCCCCCAGCCTCTCCATTTGTCCCTCAGCCACTCCCCCTCCCCCCAGCCTTACCAAGAAGTGCTCCATGCTGGTGAGAAGTTCCTTGCGGGAGTACCCCTGCTTCATGAGCCGGAGGAGGAAGTGACGGTGGCGGTAGAGGAAGTCCTGGAACTCGGACGACGCTCTGATCATTCGTCGCGGCTGTTGGGTAAAGTCAAAGTCAGTGGAGTTAGTGTATGTTTACCAATCTCTTCTTCCATGAAGCAAGCTCTAGCTCTTGGCCTCCGCTTCTCCTTCTCCTAGCTATTCGGTACATTTGCGCAAGTTCCTCCTAATCTGGCTTCTCTAACCATCATCACTGCAACCATCATCAATACACAGTCTTCATCACTCTAATCATCATCAATACACAGTCTTCATCACTCTAATCATCATTAATACACAGTCTTCATCACTCTAATCATCATCAATACACTGTCTTCATCACTCTAATCATCATCAATACACTGTCTTCATCACTCTAATCATCATCAATACACAGTCTTCATCACTCTAATCATCATTAGTACACAGTCTTCATCACTCTAATCATCATCAATACACAGTCTTCATCACTCTAATCATCATCAATACACAGTCTTCATCACTCTAATCATCATCAATACACAGTCTTCATCACTCTAATCATCATCAATACACAGTCTTCATCACTCTAATCATCATCAATACACTGTCTTCATCACTCTAATCATCATCAATACACTGTCTTCATCACTCTAATCATCATCAATACACAGTCTTCATCACTCTAATCATCATCAATACAGACTCGCTGCCAGCGCCATTGCTAGCTGGCCGGACACGAATTTGTTCCTAGGAAAAAACTCACGATTCTGAGCACCCATCAGCTCAAATCATCGCGATTTTGTGAGGGAAGAATACATCAATACTCCAAGTCCCATATAATATCTTGTTTGGAAGGGAACAATTCCGATTTCGCCTACAATTGATGGAGAAACAACGTTGTTGATTACCTGCTGTCCAGCTGACTGATATTCTGCACAACCTAGTGCGCAGGCGACCCAAATTCTCGTACCGCACTCTCGACGCCCATGACAGATTTTTTTTGGTGTCAGGACCGTATGAAACAGCATCTCAAACGGAGATGCTAGCCATTCAAAAGGCTTTGAAACATGCTCTTGCTGAACAGTGACAACACGTTATCATACATACAGATTCGAGAACTGCCACTAAAACCTTGCAACAAGAAAGTCTCTAAAACAGTTGGTATACTCTCCAAATTCAGATATTATGTACCTAACTCTGCTCTCATCTCACTATATTATGCACTAATCTATCCCTATCTTAATTATGGTATCTGTGCATGGGGTTCAACCACTGCAAACCACCTCAAGTCCATCTTCACCCAGCAAAAATCTACTATCAGAATAATAACAAATTCTGCTTTCAGACAACACTCAGCCCCCTTGTTTAACTCCCTAAACATGCTAAACATAATCTCACTCCACAAATTCTCTTGTGTCAACTACATTTACAAAACCCTGTTCTTAAATGCAAATCCTGCTCTGAAACTCTCCCTGGACAGATGTAATAGGACCCATTATCACCACACCAGAAATAAATATCTTTTTGATATCCCCAGAGTCAAACTTAATCTGTGTAAACACTCTATGCAAATAAAGGGACCCAGTCTATGAAACTCACTCCCTAGTGAATTGAAAAGCTGTCAAACTTTTGCGTCATTCAAAAACAAAACCAAAAAGTACCTAATTTCATCTTCATAGTTTTTTACCTTTTGCTTTAAAATTACACTGTATCTATTGCTACTCAATCTCCCAATCCTTTTTTTATTATTATTATTTTCTACCACAGTTACACATAGTTACAATGCTAACCAGCATATATACATTTTCTTCTGTCCTCCATGGACAGGGTTAGAGATGTGTTAAACATATAGTTCAAGGGTTTATTGAACAATCAACCACAGAAGGTGATTCGGTGCTTTTAAAATGCTAAGCTAACCTACATACGTAAATACATAGATACACAGATTTACGTATGCCCTACATAAAGTGTTCGATGTGTCTTTTACATAGTGTCATTAATGTGCATTTACAAAGGTGAAATGTAATTCTGATCAGCTTCTATATATACTTTATACACATACATATACATACACACACATGCATTCACATACATTTGTCTCTTTCTTTATGTACCCAATCTGAACATCTTTACCATTGTGATCATTGCTGTTTTCTTATATGTACTGTCAATCTGCTGTATGGTGTCTATTAATCTTGTTTAAATTACCAATCAAGTTGTCAATGTAATCAATCAGAGCTTTAATATACCAATGTGCTTTACTATACTTACTAATCTCTCTCATCTCATTTTTTCTTGCAATGTATCTGTTATCATTTTATTAATTCTGTTAGAATTTACCTACTTAAAATTATCTGTTAGATTAAGGACGTGCCCGAAACGCTGCGCGTACTAGTGGCTTTACAAGATTGTTTACATGAAGATTGGGAGATTGGGTAGTACTAGATACAGTGCAATTTTAAAGCAACAAGGTAGAAAACTATGAAGATGAAATTAGGTACTTTTTAGTTTTGTTTTTGAATGACGCAAAAGTTGGACAGCTCATCAATTCATTAGGGAGTGAGTTCCATAGACTGGGTCCCTTTATTTGCATAGAGTGTTTACACAGATTAAGTTTGACTCTGGGGATATCAAAAAGATATTTATTTCTGGTGTGGTGATAATGGGTCCTATTACATCTGTCCAGGGAGAGTTTCAGAGCAGGATTTGTATTTAAGAACAGGGTTTTGTAAATGTAGTTGACACAAGAGAATTTGTGGAGTGAGATTATGTTTAGCATGTTTAGGGAGTTAAACAAGGGGGCTGAGTGTTGTCTGAAAGCAGAATTTGTTATTATTCTGATAGCAGATTTTTGCTGGGTGAAGATGGACTTGAGGTGGTGTGCAGTGGTTGAACCCCATGCACAGATACCATAATTAAGATAGGGATAGATTAGTGCATAATATAGTGAGATGAGAGCAGAGTTAGGTACATAATATCTGATTTTTGAGAGTATACCAACTGTTTTAGAGACTTTCTTAGTTATGTGTTGTATGTGGGTGCTGAAGTTGAGTCTCTTGTCTAGGAATAGGCCAAGAAACTTTCAATAATTTTTACTGCTAATGTTAATATTGTCCTTCTGAAGCTGAATTGCATTTGATGATTTGCTTCCAAATAAGATGTAGCAGGTCTTTTCTATATTAAGTGTTAGTTTGTTGGTTGACATCCATAAGTGGACTTTTTTAGCTCATTATTAACAACATTATTTAGTGTATGTGGGTTGGGGTTAGAGTAGATGACAGACGTGAAATGTTATATCATTAATGCAAACACTCAAACGACAAGGCTTCGGGTACTTATCAACTGGGTGCCAAGTCATGTGGGAATAATAGGAAATGACATTGCAGACAAAGCTGCAAAACTTGCAATTAAGCAAAGAAATAAAGACATTTATATACCACAGAGTCTATCACAGATTAAGAAAGTAATTAGAAATAGAGCAATGCAGATGATGTACAGTGACCACAACACAGCAGTTGCAACATCAGGATCTGCGGGTTGGTACAAGAATACAACCAACTACGAACCACTTAGTTTGATGAAAGGGAACAGTAGTATAACAGAAGTACATTTACATCACATCAGGCTTGGATACCCATGTGCATGGGAAATAGGCTTACAGGTTCCGGAAGATGAGAGGAAATGTCAGCACTGTGGAGAAATGCCCGACAGACCACTGGAACATTATCTAACACAGTGCACAGTTACAAACTCAATAAGATTTCAACTTAGATTCAACAGAGAAGAAGCTGTTAAACACATATGGCAAAATCTTACTGAAGCGACCATACGAGTCATAAATACTCATACTCCGCCCAAGTAAAACAGAAACAAGGAACACTTAGTGGGCCAGCCAGAGGCTTAGGGCCCGCGCAGGAATATCCCTGCAAAAAAAAAAAAATCAGTACACTGCCTTCATCACTCTAATCATCATAATACAGAATCTTCATCACTATAATTATCGTCAATACACAGTCTTCATCACTCTAATCATCATTAATACACAGTATTCATATCACTCTAATCATCATCAGTACACAGTCTTCATCACTACCTCTTCTCTCTCTGGTTGTGTTACACGGAGGGAAGGTGCACACCCTTCACCACCTTCCCTATCCTTCACCACCTTCCCTACCCTTCACCACCTTCCCTACCCTTCACCACCTTCCCTACCCTTCACCACCTTCCCTACCCTTCACCACCTTCCCTACCCTTCACCACCTTCCCTACCCTTCACCACCTTCCCTACCCTTCACCACCTACCCTATGAAAGATGGAAGATATTTCCATCACCACCTTCTCTTATTCTTATTCCTTAGATGAATCTAATTAAAGATGGAGTCTAATAATTAGTGATATTGGAAATTACTATCATTTGTCATTTCATGCAAAGGGAGTGGGTAGGGGGGGAGGGGGCATGAACTGCCCCTGACCACCCCCGGACACAGACCAGTCACCCTGCAAGGCTGGGTGTGGTTACCCCCAACACACCACACCTGCTATACCCCCTTTCCACCCCACATGGCTCCCGTCCCCTCTCACCCACCTCGTCGTCCAGCAGGTCCTGGTGGGAGGGCGTGGAGGCCGCCGCGGCGGTGGTGGTGGTGGCGGCCATCCTGGCCTCCTTCTTCTTCTTGAGCTCCTCCTGGGTGAGCTTATGGCAGATGATGGGGGACTTGAGGAGGGGCATGTGAAGGGTCCTGATCTCATACCCCGGGCAGCACGGGGCCGGGCACAGGGTCACCCCCCGCATCACCTTCCACCCTCCCATGCAACACGTGAACTGAAACACGTGTTTGGCTTAGTAATTGTCAGTCAGGAGGCATGTATAACAAAATAAACTGTACTCACGAAATGAACGGTATGGTAAACTACACAGCTCAATTCCAACACAATGTCACACAAAATAATGAAATTACAATGAAAATAAATCAAAATCTAAGAAAATTCTATTTATCAATGCAATCGGAAACACTGAAATAGAATCGTAACATATTTAGTATAGCGTGTGTTGCACTTAAATGCAAATAATGGCGCTGTTTTTTTTATTTAAAAAGCATGGATTTACCTGTCACAGGTGTGGCATCTATACTTATACTCACGAAATGAACGGTATGGTAAACTACACAGCTCAATTCCAACACGATGTCACACAAAATAATGAAATCAGAATGAAAATAAATCAAAATATATGAAAATTGACTTTATCAGTGCAATCGAAAACATTGAAATGAAATCGTAACATATTTAGTATAGCGTGGTATGCTCTTACGTGCAACAGATGGCGCTGTTTAAAAAAAAAAAAAATTCTGTCACAAGAGAGACATTTATATAGTAGGTATATAAAAACATGCACCTATTGGAATGCAAAGTTGTGTCAATATTTCAAAACAATCTGTAAAGAGATTTCAAAGATTTCCATTACATGAAAAACACAGGAAAACACAGTTTGTCAGAAAAGCATGTTTTTTCCCGTCACAGACGTGACATGTATATAGTATGTATATAAAAACCCGCTCGGATGCCATCTTATCTTGAGGTTATCTTGAGATGATTTCGGGGCTTTTTAGTGTCCCCGCGGCCCGGTCCTCGACCAGGCCTCCACCCCCAGGAAGCAGCCCGTGACAGCTGACTAACACCCAGGTACCTATTTTACTGCTAGGTAACAGGAGCATAGGGTGAAAGAAACTCTGCCCATTGTTTCTCGCCGGCGCCCGGGATCGAACCCGGGACCACAGGATCACAAGTCCAGCGTGCTGTCCGCTCGGCCGACCGGCTCCCCATTGGAACGTTGTGTGAAAATTTCAAAGCATTCGGTGAAGAACTTTCGGAGATTAGCAATTTTTGAACAAACGAACATATCCATTTATATATATATATATATATATATATATATATATATATATATATATATATATATATATATATATATATATATATATATATATATATATATATGTATGTAGGGAATAGTGTTGGTATATGAACGTGTGTGTGTGGGGGAGAGTGGACAGCCTCACCACACAGTCTCAGTGTGTGGGGGAGAGTGGACAGCCTCACCACACAGTCTCAGTGTGTGGGGGAGAGTGGACAGCCTCACCACACAGCCTCAGTGTGTGGGGGAGAGTGGACAGCCTCACCACACAGTCTCAGTGTGTGGGGGAGAGTGGACAGCCTCACCACACAGTCTCAGTGTGTGGGGGAGAGTGGACAGCCTCACCACACAGCCTCAGTGTGTGGGGGAGAGTGGACAGCCTCACCACACAGTCTCAGTGTGTGGGGGAGAGTGGACAGCCTCACCACACAGCCTCAGTGTGTGGGGGAGAGTGGACAGCCTCACCACACAGCCTCAGTGTGTGGGGGAGAGTGGACAGCCTCACCACACAGCCTCAGTGTGTGGGGGAGAGTGGACAGCCTCACCACACAGCCTCAGTGTGTGGGGGAGAGTGGACAGCCTCACCACACAGTCTCAGTGTGTGGGGGAGAGTGGACAGCCTCACCACACAGCCTCAGTGTGTGGGGGAGAGTGGACAGCCTCACCACACAGTCTCAGTGTGTGGGGGAGAGTGGACAGCCTCACCACACAGCCTCAGTGTGTGGGGGAGAGTGGACAGCCTCACCACACAGTCTCAGTGTGTGGGGGAGAGTGGACAGCCTCACCACACAGCCTCAGTGTGTGGGGGAGAGTGGACAGCCTCACCACACAGCCTCAGTGTGTGGGGGAGAGTGGACAGCCTCACCACACAGTCTCAGTGTGTGGGGGAGAGTGGACAGCCTCACCACACAGCCTCAGTGTGTGGGGGAGAGTGGACAGCCTCACCACACAGTCGGGTTCCATCAAGGAATGTTAGCAGCAACTCACTCGCGGGTCCTGGCGGGTCAACCGCCCGTGTGCCGAGTTAATGATGTCTTCACCGGGTCTTTCTCAGCTGAATTCAGTTCATTTCACGGTACATTGACTGGGCTTTGTTGTTCAACACGCCTTATGCTCCACTCGGCTAAGCGGGTATCTCCATTTCTCTTATAATTGTGCGCCACATAGAGCAGGTACACTAAATATTATTACCATTTAGACGGTAAGTACAAGTCTGCGAGCGACCGTTCAAGTCCTGGGACGCGCATGTTTGTGCGCAGGTGAAGAGAGAAGCGTGAGTTGACCAAATGATTCATCAAAGGAAGGAAGACTTTATTCTCGTGTAATGTGCTTAATTCCCGGTGCTGACGCTGTTCTTATTTCTCTCTCTTTTTCTCGTATTTTGGTTGACTGTCCCATTTGCAGGAGTCCCTCCCCCACCTGGGTGGTGCTCTTCTTCCCCTCCTCCCAGTACTGTCCTCCGGTGGAGTTGTGGTTGTTGGACCACCTCTCAGTACTCTCTTCCCTTATCGCCTGACTCTGAAACTGTTGCGACCACAGTCTGTTGAATATCACACCAATACAAACATAACTTTAGTGAAAATCGTCCAAAGGAGTGACAGACTCA